TTTCTGTATTCCCACAATAAAATATCAAGACTAAAACCAGGAGAGCAACTCCATTTGCAATAGCCTCAAAATAAAGTAAATAAAACACCTAGAAATCAGCCAAGGAACTGAAGGACCTCTACAATGAAAGCTATAAAAATCTGAAGAAGGAAATTGAAGACAACAAGAAATGGAAGGACCTTCCAGGCTCCTGGATTAGCAGAATTAATACCATGGAAATGATAATGCTGCCCAAAGTAATCTACAAAGTTTCTGCATGGCAAAGGACAAGCTAAAAAGTTTATGTCTTTTGATTGGAGAATTCACAGTTATTATTAAAAAGTATGTAATAATTCATGTCATTTTACTGTTTTTTAGTCATAATTTGTTTATCTACTCATCTAACAAGATTTATTTTTCCCATATTTTTATGGTTGTGGTCATAGTCCTCTTCCATCTCTAGTATACCTTTATCTCTGCAGCACTAGAGCATTGAAATAAATTCATTTTGTTTTTTATTAACATATAAGGTTTTTTATTTCTTCTTCAATTTTGAAGAATTGCTTTGCTGAGTACAATAATGTAGGTTGCAATTATTTCCTTTCAGGCATCAAAATACATCATTTCATGTCTTCTTGGCTTTTAAAGTTTCTGTTGAGAAATCGATTGTCCTGGTAGTTTTGCTATTATATTTGAGTTGGCACTTCTGTCATGTTTTCCCTTGTTCTGTATACCTACTGTTTTAGCTATGATACATCTTCGCTCTATCTGTCTATATCTATCTATCTATCAGTTGGTCTTACATATGGGGAGTCAGAAAAGTCCCTTATATCTAGATTACCCCCTTTTCTCAGAATGGGGTAATTTTGTACTATTACTTTATCAAATATTTCTGTGTCTGGCTTGCACCTGTTCTGTGCCTAAGATTTATACATTTGGCCTTTTTAACAGTTTTTGTGTTACGCTTATGTCTTTTTTTAATGTTCATGTGTACTTAGATGACCCCATTTTTCTCCAGATTGGGAAAGTTTTCTGCTACAACTTTATTGAATGTATTTTCTATGTTTGAGGCTTGTGCTTGTTCTATGACTTGTAAGTTTGAGCTTTTAGTGGTTTCCATAGTTTTGCACATGTCGTCATCTTTTTCTGTATCTTTATATGAATGTTCTAATACAGCTTCCTTGTTTCAAGCCCTGATAATCTGACTTTAATTGGACAGAGTCTACTGAAAAATATAAACTAAAATTATAATTTGACTTATTGAACTTTTTTATTTCCTGAATTTCAACTTGATTTTTCAGGATTTCTATAGATTTGTTAAGTTCCTCTGTTAATCTCTGTTGCCTTCCTTATTTCATTTAGATACTTATTTGTCTTTTCTTGGAATCTAATCAGATGTTTATACATTTCCTCTTTTGTTGATCATTCTCATAATAATTATTTTAGTTCTTTCAGGCTTTGTTCTACTTCCTTATTAGTAGTGACTGATGAGCTGACATTTGGAAGGATGTTATTTTATTTGCTCTTCTTTGTTTTGTTTTTCTTATGCTTCTGCTTTGAGATTTAAGACCAAGTTGTCGCGACCACCTCGACCAGCAAGGAAGACACGACACCGAGCTCTTCTCTCTTCAGTTTATTCAGGACCTTTGAGCAATCTTCTGACCCCAACCCCGGGGAGAATTCCCCACAGCCTTAAGTACCTGCTGGGTAGCCAACCCTGATACGCCATGTGGGAACCACCAATTAGGTCCAGGTGCGGGGAAGCAAGCCAGATTCTATGCCTTAGCCATGTAAGGAGTTGTTTACCACAGAGAGCACTCTGTGGTAAACCATTGGGAAGGTGGAGGGCGGAAGCCGGCGCCATCTTCCAGGTGCGGCTGCTCGCAGCTCTCTACACCAAGTCACTGATCAAAAGTTATAATTATGGGGGCTGGGAAGGTGGCTCAGTGGTAGAGGGCTTGCCTTGCATGCATGAGGCCTGGGTTCGATTCCTCAGCACTACATAAGCAAAAAAAGCCGAAAGTGGCACTGTGGCTCAAGTGGTAGAGCACTAGCCTTGAGCTGAAGAGCTGAGGGACAGCGCCCAGGCCCAGAGTTTAGGCCCCCATGACCGAACTCAAAAAAAAAGTTATAATTATGGATAGTCTTTCTGTTGAAGTATTCTCAATGTTCAAGGAGGACTGTGTGTTGGCAGGGATGAGGTGCTATTTCATTAGTATTCTAAGTGCTTTCAGACTCCACATTCAAGTTTATTTCCCTGTGGAGCTCCCTTGACTTGACCTAGGCTAAGGGCTATCAGACCCACCTTGCAGCCAACACAAGAATCAGGTCCTGGAGGCCCAATACTCTGCCACTATAACATGGGCTCAGTGTTGTGTTTCCACTGTGACTGTTAGGCAGTGAGATGATTCTGTCATTGCCAGGGAATATGGGCACCTGTAAGGAGACTACTGAACCCTTCACACTTGAGCTCCACACTGCTTAAACTTCTCAACTGGCCATCTTCAACCCAGACACTAAGGCAGGGTCTTCCAAGACTTCCTAAGCCTTGTTATTTCTTATTTTCAATTTCCTAAAGTAGCTTAATCTCAGTAGGTGCCTTCAACAAGACAGCTTCTTGTGAGAGCTCTCTGAGAGAAGTGAAATGACAAATTTTCTTTCTTCACTAACCTTCTGCATTAGTGCAGTCATTATCACATTAGAGCCCTCATCTGGGTTTTATGTGGGAAGTGTGGGACATATCCTCCACCTAGAATTACCAGTCACCAGGGCTGTTAACTTATCTTGTGATTATGCCTCAGCTCAACCCTCAGGTTTGTTCTATTTTCTGCTTTTCTCTGTCATTTTTCTGTTTCTCCATGCTTTTCAGCTGTTCCATTAACCCTTTCCTGGTGCACTACCTCCCTTTCATGCTTCAGAATATAGACTCTTCTTTGTTTCCTAACTTCTTGCTTACAGAGTCAAATCAGAGGTTACTTTTAGTCCTCTATCTTGCAGCTTATCTTTTGAATGTCTGTTTTCACTATATTTTTTGTTATATCTTTCCCAAACTGATTGTCTTGTCAACCATTTCCTCATACTCTTCTTCGTTTACCTGAACTGACTTCTTCTGAGGGGGGAATTATCTTTTACATCACTCTCTACAAGTAGCTGAACTTGAGCCTCACAGCTACCTCCACAGTACTTCCTTGTGTCCTCAGTAACACCAATAGGGACTTCTCCAGACACCATGCCATGTTTTGTCCTCTGGTATCACATGTATGTCTGTTGGTAGATCCAGCTGTCTAGTATCGGTGTGTCCACAGAGATGAACAGGTAACTAGAAGCTCAGCCCTTCTTGTCTCACTTGGGCTCTCCAGCTCATCCTTTGTGTCTTTGGTCCAGTTTCACCCCATTACTCTCTTTGGACTGCACCACTGGGCTTGAGGAAGCAAATCAGAATAAAACTTCAGTTTTCTAAAACCAGGCTCTGGAGTTTTGCTAATTGCATTTAAAAGCCAAAAGAAAAACCTCGTTTGTTGAAAGAAATGGAAAAGGAGTATAAAAATTAATAATGATGATGAAACAAGAAACATGTCAATAACTTTCTGCAGAAACAAGTTTATGACTATGAGCAGGGAGTGAAAAATAAAGACTATACAATACAATAGAATCTGAAGCCACCAAAATAGAAAAATAAATTTTCTCTAGGTACAGAAATGTCATAATCTCTAAAGACTATATATAAAGATGTAAACAACTTGGTAGTCTATAAAAGAACATGCAAAATATGATAGGAAATACAATGCATGAAAACATGATAAAGAAAAATTTCTTGTTTGTGCATATACTATTCTTTGGAAGGATATTTGAGCCATCTTCAGAGTGGTGTTGAAGGAGGAGGTCAGGAATATGTGCTGGAAACCTTAGAGAGCTAAGAACAGTATAACTAGATTTTAGCCTAACAGAACAGTTTGGGCCTAGCCTGTGAGGAGGATTGTGTTGAGCCTTTAATTCCAGGACACCATGACTAAATGTGTACATGCCAAAATACCTTTAAATGCTGTGTGCCTGCCATGTGGGCCTCTTTCTGCTACATCAAGCTTAAAATCTGATCTCATGTTAATTCTGGAGTGATTTTCATAGGACAGATTTTCACATAACAGGAAAGATTTATATGAACCTACTTGGAGTAGATAAAATCTAAAAGACCTCTAACCTAAGAGATACTGATTCCTTTTCAAATAAATGTATTTTTATGGCATCAGGGTAAATAAGATCTTCAAGTTAAGTTTTCTTTGCTACAGTTTTGGAAACCCCACACACCAAGATCGCCATCGATATCACTATTAATTTTCCCCTTCATGGAATCTCCAAAGCCAAATTTCACAGAATTATCCTTCGAAGATATTTTGTTCTTTACTATAAGAAATTCTCATTACGTTAAGATTTGCCTTATCACACAAGTTTGATATCACTAAAGAGGGGAAAACAATCTTTTTTCGTTAGTTTATATATTAAGCATGCAGAAAGTGGTTAATGTAGCACTCTTGGGACTGCTACATAACAGATGATTGCTTAAAAGATTGACATTTGAAAATTATCAATGTTGAAAATTACCCTATTTCCTAAGGGAATTTACTCCTCAAACTGATTTTAAAAAATGTGACTCATTACACCTAAAGTACTTTCATAAATATCATGGACTGCACAATACACATACTTTCCAACTACGAGTTTGGAACTTCAGGGTATGCCAAACAGAAGTTGCCTAAAGCAGTTCCCAGCAAAAACTTTGCATGCTAAGTATGAAATCCGCTTTCTTGATAGACAGTATTTCACCTGTGTTGTCATACATCCTTACTAGGCAAGTTAGCTCCATTGAGTAGGGACTCTGAAGCCTGCTCCTGGCATGCCTTCTATTATCACTGCAGGACCTGTTCCCTTAACTGATTTTGCTTCATGTCATTTGTTGTAATAATTGATAGTCATGAGTATGACTATGTATTGAGTCCTATAAAGCCTCCTAGCTAACGCTAGGAATGGTCTTGGGGCCCTTTGACACATTAAGGTAACTAACAGATGCTGTAACAATCACCAGGAGATCAGAGGCTCATTACAGTAGTTTATTTCTTGTTTATATAAAGCTAGATGCTAGTGCTTCTGGTGAATGAGTGTTCCTATTCAATAATTTAGGGTTAGGATACCTTCCATCTTAAACTTCGCCTTCCTAAATCATTTGAATCCTCTTAAGTAGGTTTTCAATAGTGAAAGAAACTGTGGGAGGACATATACCCTTTGTAATTTTTTAATAAGTTTTTTATTGTGAAAATATTGTACAGAGGGGTCACAGTTACATGAGCAAGGTAATGAGTACATTTTTTATCAAGCATTGTTGCCCCCTCCTTTGTTTTTCCCCTACCATCTCTTCCCTCCCATCTCCACAACTATGCTCCCCCCACAGCTCCCCTCCCACATAAATTGTAAAGTTCCTTTTTCAACATAGAATCTTGTACATCTCATTGTTACAATGGGTCAACCTGTATCCCTATTTAAACATTTTGTTTTTTCCCTTTCCCTCCCCAAATTATACCGACTTCAAATACAGTGAAAACAGGGGGTGAGGGGTGGGGAGGAACATATAAAACAACCAAAAAACCCACACGGTACCTTATAAATACATTAGAAACAATAGCAAGAAATAAAAAAATCACTTGTGTCCCTTTGTAATTTTAACCCACATGTTGGTCCCAAGATGAAATTGGGATATCAATCCAAATTCCATTGGTAATCACTACTCAATAGTGCCATGTAAATTCAAGGGGTTAGGAAATGTGCATCGTGCTTCCCCGAAGCATCTCCTCACTGTGGAAGGAAGGCATGAATTATTGATGCCCTGCAAGGGTTGCATAGCATATTTATTATGCAGCTACTGGGCACTTAACAAGTGCTGTGGATCAATGCTGATTTTGCGCATGTCTTGTTGGCATTGAAAAGAGAGTTGCCAGCTCCTGTACGTACGTCCACTGCCTAGCCCTTCTCTCCCTCTAACCCATTCACCATGTGAAGCCCCAACTCTACTCAATCCATTCATCCATCCTCAAACTCATTCCAGTGGGCAGGGCTAATGAAAATGTCACAATGAAGCAGAGACCTAGAACTCAACACAGCTTTTACTGCTGCTCTGAAATGTAGGTAACTCATTCTCCTTTTCTAAAACCCAGTTCAAAGGTTCTCACTTCTTTGACCTTCTTCCCGTTCCACTCAGCACAATTATTTGATAACCTTCCCTCCGCTGTGTTGTAAATGTGGGCGTCACCTTCTCATCTCAGCAAGGTGACAGCTTCCTCATTCTCCTGCCAGGCCTGCCTACACCTGTTCCTCTCTCTCTCTCTCTTTTCTTTGTCTCCTAGAATTTTAACTTCCGTGTACACCATGGGGTGGGGTCCATTATTCCCACCTTCATACATCTGAAATCTCTTGTCAAACAAATAGCAGCAACAGAATTCTCCTGATTCTAGAAAACTTCATTCCAGCTCAAGTATGTCTCTCTGAGACTAGATGTAGATCTATTTGCCTTGTTGACTTCTCTACTAGGTTGTCTACAGGCATATAAAAATTAATCTCCAAGTAGAACTCTTGATTTTCCTGTTCATACCTCTTCTACCCACAGTTTTTTTTTTCCCTTTTCAGAAAGATTGTTCAGATCAACATATCAGAAATCATTCTTGATTCCTGGACTTCCTATCTTTCTTTATCTAATAGATATATTATATTATTATGTATATAATTAAATATTAAATAAATTAAATAAAAAATAATATGTAATGAATACATAATACATATATTATGTATGTATTATATTTATATGTACATATGTATGAATACATTAGTTAACAAATATATAAGCTATCTATTATGTGTATATTATAAATTAATATGTAATATGTATTAATTTATCTCTGGTTTACATCTTTGTCACAGCACTAATCTGAGGACAGCATTCAGTCCCTTGAGTATGATACTAATTGTGAGTGTTTTCGAGATTTAATTTTTCTAGATGTACTTGCTAGTTGGAGGAGGTCCTTTTCAATTTCCAATCTGCTCAGTGTTTTTATCATGGGAGGAAATTGAGTTTTGGCAAATGTTTGTCCTGTGCCTATGGAGAATGTTGCTGGTTTCGATTCCTAAGGTTTTATTGGGTTTTGCATTCCAAAATGTTCACCTTCAATAAATGGCTTCCCGCCACTTTCTGGGTTTAACGCGCTTTCCTGCACTCCTGCCGTTCTCAGGAGACCCCTCCAGAACTGGCCAGAGTCCCTCTCCATCTGGTGCTATGCGCCCTCCTTGCTGCTGCCTCTCCCTCTCACTTACCTGCTTTCTCACAGGCTTCTCCTGGAAGTGCATTCTAGGAAATGGCCAGCTCTGCCTTCCGGTGGAGAGGCGGCCGTGGCTGGCGCACACCCACCGCCTGGCCTGGCCTGGCCTGGCCTGGCCTCGCCTCGCCTGGCCTCGCCTGGCCGCGCTAACCAGGCTCTGCGGGTTTTCCTGCAGGTGATCTACGCCCTGAACACCCGCCAGGATGAGGCCGAAGCCACCATGGAGGCCCTGCGGGAGGCCCACCAGGAGGAACTCCAGGGCGCGGTGGCTGAGACCAAGGCCAGGCTCCTGCAGGAACAGGAGACCCTTCTGCAGCGCATCCAGGCCCTGGAGAGTGCCCTGGAGCTGCAGAAGAGGCTGACGCGGGAGGCGCTGGCAGAGTCGGCCACGTGCAAGCTAGAGACCAAAGAGCGAGAGCTGAGGGCGGAGGCCGAGCACGCAGAGCGCGTCCTAACGCTCTCCAAGGAGATGCTGGAGCTCAAGGCCGACTACGAGAAGAGGCTCCGGCAGCTGATGAGCCACGAGGCTCCCCAGTGGGGCAGACCGTCCCAGGAGATCCCGGACGCCACGACCGAGCCCAGCCAGGGCCCAGAAATGCGGCAGGTCCTGCTGGAGGTGGAGCGCCTGCGCACTGAGAACCAGCAGCTGAGCCAGGATTACGCCCGCAAGGCTGAGGAACTGCAGGCCACCTACGAGCGAGAGAACGAGGCCATCCGGCAGGCCATGCAGCAGTCAGTGAGCGAGGCCCTGTGGCAGTGGCAAGAGAAGGAGACCGACCTCCGCAAGAACTTCCAGGTTCAAGAGTCAGCCCTGCAGGCCCAGGTCAGGAAGCTGGAAGGAGACCTGGAGCACAGGGGCCGCAAGATCAGTGACCTGAAGAAGTATGCCCAGAAGCTGAAGGAGAGGATTCAGGTAAAGCCACTCTTCATACCTCCTGAGGGGAGAATGGGCAGGGCTGCCAAATCTGAACACCCACCACATGTCAGACATTGCTAAATCTTTAACTTCTAACCAAGGTGGCAGTTACTGTCTAGGTCCAACCTGACTACCTTCATTCGGCAACCTGTTTAACACCTATTATGGGCCACGCACTGTCTTTGGTCTTCTACCAAAGTGAGCAGTACTGTTTTTAATATGTGATAAAACTACACTCAGCAAATATTTATTGAAGGCCTACTATGTGCCAAGCTTAGGCTATGGACAAGGAGGTTAGAGATTTGTAGTTTACAGATAAGAAGACAAGAAAAGCAGAGAAGTTTAAAGGCTAGCTCACGAGGCACACAGTAAGTAAGCTTTTGAATTTACGTCAGTCTAGTTCTAACTCTTGTATTCTTTCCACAGTCACTTGCGTTTCCTTAGGACATTGGTATTCACAAAAAGCAGGGTCATAGATTGGCCTGTTATGTGAACCCTACAAAAGTACTGAGCCACAGTTGATATTTGTGCTACTTCCTGAACATTTTCTTTTCTGTCCCAGACACTTGAACACACTCTGGAGGAAAGTTAGAAAACTTTGTCCATCAGAGTAGGGAATTGGCTGGACTCAGAGCCACTAATTCTAAAGACTCAGGGCTCCTGCTGAGTGCTCACCCACCTTTCGGCACTAACAGCTCTTCTGTGCATGCAGCACATCTCTCTACAGAATTGCAAGCAGACAACTGAGATCCTTCCTGTCTAATTTAGGACCTGGACCTGCAGCTAAGGGATGCTCGACAAGAGAACTCAGAGTTGAAGAACACTGCAAAGAAACTTGGGGAGAAGCTGGCTGTTGCCAAAGACAGACTGATTCTGCAGGAGGGTCACGTGGCACAGAAACCAGGTGAGATCCCCTGAAACAACTCCTTAAACATGGCAGGTTAGCTGCCAGGATGGCCTGTTGTTAATGGCACCTCAAGACTGCTCAGAAATAAGGAGGCAGGGGCAAGGACGTTGGATCTGGCCTGCCAGTTGGATGCATCCATTCCATGCCGGGCACAGGTGAGCTGACTCCCAGACTGTCTCACTTGCGGCACAGACTCGACATCTAAATGTCACTTTACACAATCACATGAGTAGATCTTCCCACCATTTTGTGAGATATGGATTGTTATGCCATGATAAAGAAGTGAAGCTGAAAAAGAATTTATTGGACTAAATGGTTGGTAAAAAGCTGCTATATCTAAGACTATCTGAATTCAAATGCCTTCTACTCAAGTCCCTTGAGTAGTGTGAAAAGCTTATCAAAAAAATGCACAAAACACGGTTTCTGCTTTTTGAAGCTTATAGAATGGTTGTGTCAGCCTGTGGTACATTTTGGTCTTACAGGCCCAGAAGGGAATAATGTGTCTGAGAATGAAAAAGAACTCATAGGCTGAGAAGAAAGATTTCAATAGGAACCAGAAGTATAATCAGCACTTAGAACAGTGGTAAAAAAAAAAAAATGGGACAAAAGTGTAAGGGTGTGGCTCAAATATATAGCTCTGCCTGTCAAGGGTAAAGCTTTGAGTTCAAATGCCACTCCCATTAAAATGGCATCAAGAGAAAAAAAATTTATTGGTTCTAGTTGTATTTATTTTTCTCATCCCTTAAATCAGCATTGAATAAATGATTATATGTGTATGTATAGGTGTGTGTGTGTGTGTTTGTGTGTGTGTATCGTTTGTGTGTGTTGGGGAATATACACCATTTTGTAACCTAATGTACTATTTTTTAATTGTTAATTATTAGCTTAGGCAGGGAGAGCATAGCAATTATGCAAAGGATCAGATTTTGTTTGAGCAGAGATGAGATACTATGTTTCTGTGCTCAAGGGCAGAAGACATAGAACAGGGATTATACAAAGGGCTGATAAGCAAAATGGCTGAATAGCAAGATGGGGACTTGACTGTTCACAGCATCAAGCCAAGAACTTCATAAATGATATTTGAACTTATGTTTGCAGATGACATAAAGCCTATATTTGTTTTGGAGAATGAAGTCCTGGCAGAAGAAAATGACTTAGAAGGCCAGAATTTTCATCTGCAGCAAGATCAAGGCTTTCCTAAGGAGTGTTCCTGCATCAAAGGAGACTCTACTACACAGGTAGTATCCAACCATCCCTAGGAATGGAGAGGTACAGGTGCCTTTTCCTGAATGAGCTTCAGGTAGAGGCCATTCTCCAACCATAGAGAATCTACTTGGAATGATCAGATCCCTTAGTGCCCGAGAGTAGCTGGATTGAGAGAGGAAGTTCTACCAGCTTCCTCCCAGCCTGTGACATTTGAAACTGGGTGACAGAGAATGTAGCAGAATTCTCCCAACTTTTTTTTTTTTGGTCGGCCGTGGGGCTTGAACTCTGGGCCTGGGTGCTGTCCCTCAGCTCTTCAGCTCAAGGCTAGTAGTGCTCTACCACTTGAGCTACAGCGTCACTTCCAGTTTTCTGGTGGTTTATTGGAGAGAGGAGTCTCACGATCTCTCCTGCCCGGGCTGGCTTTGAACCGTGATCCTCAGATCTCAGCCTCCTGAGTAGCTGGGATTACAGGCGTGAGCCACCAGTGCCCGGCTAGAATTCTCCCAACTTTTTATGTTGACTTCTGGAAAATTGGAAATTGCTTAGGAGTCAAAACAAGAATCCTTTAGAAACTACTATGATGCTAGCCGGGCGCTGGTGGCTCACGCCTGTAATCCTAGCTACTCAGGAGGCTGAGATCTGAGGATCGCGGTTCAAAGCCAGCCCGGGCAGGAGAGACTGTGAGACTCCTATCTCCAATAAACCACCAGAAAACCGGAAGTGGTGCTGTAGCTCAAGTGGTAGAGCGCTCGCCTTGAACTGAAGAGCTGAGGGACAGCACCCAGGCCCAGAGTTCAAGCCCCACGACCGACAAAAAAAAAAAGAAAAGAAACTACTATGATGCGGTCTAGCACATCAGATCCTGTGACAAAAGATAAAATTACAGTGAGGCCTTTCTCAAGTCTCTTACAAATTTCAAATATATAGTCTTATAGAATGTATTAAATTACCAGGCTCACACCTGTAATTCTACTACTCTAGGGGATGAGATCCAAGGATCATAGTTCAAAGCCAGCCCAGGCAAGAATGTCTGTGAGACTATTTTTATTTTTTTTCAGTGAGACTCATATCCAGAGAGCTACCAAAAAAACAAAAACAAACAAATAAAGCCCACACATACACACCAGAAGTGGAACTGTTGGCTCCAGTGGTAAAAGCCTTGAACAAAAGAAGCTCAGGGACATCATTCAGGCCCTGAGTTCAAACCCCAATACCGTTGCGTGCATACACACACACCCACCCACACACACACAGAGTAAACTTTCTGATATATTCTGTAATATCAGCATATTTAAAGAGAATTCTCAGGATGTCACTGCTACCCAGTAGATTTACAAGGCCCTCTTTCCTCCCATAGAAAGTGTCAAGTGTTGAGACAGAATATATGAAGCAACAATATGAAGAAGACCTTCAAAAGATCAAACATCAAACTGAAGAGGAGAAGAAACACCTCAAAGACCAGCTAGTGAGGCGTCTGGAGGACTTGGTAAAGAAGCACACTGTGGAAATCAAGTCTGTGCGCTCATCCGTTGAAGCAGAGAGAAAGAAGCTACAAAAGGTGAGGCCCATGTTCAGCCATGATGATTCTTTCCTTTCTCCCCTTTCCTTCCTTTCCTTTTCCATTTCTTCTTTCCTTGCCCAATTATTTACTGTGATCTTGTGGGTGCATGTATGAGCTGGGTCTCTAATGACACACAGGCGAAGGACACAGTTCTTGCCTAAAATGGAGCTCAGGGGCTTGTGGAGGAGAGAAAGGGACACTCCTAACACTGTGGGATGATAGGCCTTAAGCTTGTTAACGTGAGGTGGAATGGTGTGTTGTGAGTGCAGCCTGGAACTGTTTTCTCAGGGGTACAGGTCATATATCTGAAAGCACCAGTCTCTTCATATTCTTGACCTTGTAGTTGCTTTTCTTATCTCCTGAAATGGGAGTATATTAACACTTCCTGTGGAGATCCTCAAGGTCACTTTGAGCTCAGCACTGAGCCTGTGTTCTCCCAGCGACTCAGCATTGTTTGCTTTTTCACAACAACTCATGTTATTTTGCACCTACAGTGAGGCTTAGTAATGCCAAAAGTTACTGCTAAAATCAGCAATTTTTGTTTGTAGGGCAATGTTTTATTCACTGGTCCTTTATCAAGGCAACAGCTGAAGCTGTGAGGGATTACAAGTAGTGGAGGAAGCTGTGCTAGGGGAAGTCTGGGCCGTTCCTTCAAGCCCCACATCACCTTAGCAGGGAATTTATGCTGTGACAGGAGTGCGTTGGCAGAGTTTGTATATGTGATACACCAAACTTACGTTCAGGCAAAGCTCTTGTGCATGTGAACTAGTTCATTAAGTTTTTTAAAAATCAGCTTTTTTGCTGAGGACTCCTAATGGCAGCTTAAGTTATCTCAGCGTTTTTAATTCCAAAGAATAACATATTGTTTCCTTAATAACTTTGATAATTTATATGTTGTCTTGTTGTTTGTCAAATTCTCCAAACAACATTGTCTTAAAGCATTAAGAATTGCATAGGTTTACTGAAGAGAGACTGCATGGGCTTATGGCCAGGTCATACAACCCCAACAATCGAATTAAATTGCTCTCTTGTACTCTTTTAAATGACTACCCTAAGGCATTAGCCAGGGATCACTCCAGGGCCACTGGCTTGGTCTGGTTGGGCCCCACAGAACACGTAAAGGTACCATCCAAATATTCAGCAGTATAGCCTTTTAGATGTCCAGAAAAGCCAAAACCAGGTCTTCTGTCTCAACCTGGCATTCAGTTAGCCAACAAGTGGAATGCTGTTCTGATCTAGTGACTCAGAATAACCCTGCATCCCAGTGTGCTTAGCACTTCCTCTCTGACCCCATCACCATATCTCAATAGACCATGCAATGACCTCTCTGCCACAACCCATTTCATGTCATCTTGGCTCTGGTCCAGGATCTTCAGACAGCTCAGCCTTGGTTTTCAGCTTCTCTACAGTGCCTGTCATTTCCATGGTGTGGTTCCAACTCTTTTCCATTGCTCAAAATAATCTGCAGAAACAGACTTCTCTTTGCCAGTTCTGCCCCATCCATTCTATAACTCTCCACTGTTCAACTCTGTCCACCAGTCTTTTCATTCCTCACTCATTCCATGTTCTTTCCTGTTACCCCAGTAGAGAACATTTTCCTACCCTCTCCCACATGTACCCATCTGGTTCTTGCTGAGTTTATTGATACCTGTTTCAACATTGGCCTCCCTTACCCAGACTCAGATGCTGGGCTCTGATACCTGGCATTTTAATATTTGTGCCACAGCACTACACTGTGACTGCTACTCACTGTACGTTTTTATACTGGGCCACCCCATTGCTCCTGTTGGTCCTTCCACCTCATCTCCTTCCTTATGTGTCCCCAAGATAGAAACTAGCAGTGGTATAATGAAAGTATAATTCAGTCATGTGGCTTCTCTGCCTGGACCTTCCAGTATCTTCATCTTCCTTGTAAGATGAAGATGTGTATTTCCCATGATGTGTATCCTGACTGTACTGTTTACTAAGATGTGTAAGGCCTGATCAAAGGTCCCTCCAACCTCTTCTCCTACCAATTCCCCTCCTTCACTCCAGTCCTTAGACCATAGAAAACCCTTTGCAGGTCCTAGTAGGTCCTCCTACTCAAATCCAGTCATCTATTTGGCTGGGCCTTTACTGAATGCAGGGATTTTATACTCAAAAGTCATTTTCTATGGAGCACTCTCTGGCCTACCTATGCTACATCTGTAGTGCCCTTCCCTTCTTTATTATTTTTCCACCTTTCATAGTATTTCTCATATGGTACTCACTGACTTTGACAGCTCTTTTTTCACATAAATTTCTGACACATAGGAATTTTATCTTTTTTTAAATTCTCAGTTCTGATAAAAGGGCAGATACATGTTAGGATTCCATAACTATTTGTTGACTTAATATTTACCTAACGTTCAGCTAAGAAGAGCAAGACATCCATAAGAGTCAAAATGGACATCATTTGTTGAGCCTTCATTGTGTATCCTGAACAGTGGTAAGCATGAAAATAGCACAGTACATCTTGAGAAATGTGGTAAGGATGACACAGCTAAAACATGGTTGTGCAGCTCACATGGTCTCCAAATGTTTCTCCATCTGGATCTTCTCTATACTGAGGCTCACAGGCTATGGAAGACACCGTGGAGAAAGCTGCCTGTGAACCCCATCATTCTGGCTGCTGCTGTATGGTTCCTATCTGGATAGACAAATTTTGTTCTGCTTTTAATATCTCCTTCATCTAAGAATGTAGTTAGGTTATTGACTTATGGAACACTGAGAATATTGCTCATGTTGAATGTTCTATTTTCCTATTTGATGCTAGAAAACATAGTGTCAAGGGTCTACCCTATTCTAGCCTACTTCATATTTCAGACTTAGAGTCAAAGATCTACGCCATTCTAGCCTATATAAATTAAACTTTACGCCAGGTGCTGGTGGCTCACACCTGTAATCCTGGCTACTCAGGAGGCAGAGCTCTGAGGATCACGGTTCAGAGCCAGCCTGGGCAGGAAAGTCTGTGAGACTCTTCTCCAAATTAACCACTAGAAAACCAGAAATGGTGCTGTGGCTCAAGTTGTAGAGGGCTTGCTTTAAGCTAAAGAGTCAGGGACAGCACCCAGGCCAAAAGTTTAAGACCCATCACTGACAAAAAAAATAAAAATAAATAAATTATATAGAGAGAGGGGGGGAGGGAGAGAGAGAGATTTGGGGGCATGTATTTAATACTTGTTTTCTAATGATCTTCTTGTCCATTTTTGTTATTGTGTTTAAACAGCATTTTATTACTCTTTTAAATTCTTTTATCCCCTTTGGAATAAGCCAGGGTGTAACTATATAAATGTCCTGTTTTCCTGCCTTCCTTGTATAGCTAATCCTTCTTGTTATCATTTAGGAAGTAGAAGTACAGTTGGAGGAAGTGAAGATGAAATCAGAAAGGAAAATAAAGCAGTTGGAAGAAGAGAAAGCATCCCTCAATGTGAAACTTCAAAATTCTCTCCTTGAGGTAAACCGTGAAAAACGCAATACATGGGAATGGTGGTTGTCATCCCTGGGAGCTTCTGGCAACTCCATCTTTCTACATCTTCTGAACAAAGCCAAGGGCACTTGGCCAGACAGGATGGCTGTGTCAGAGGACATAAATTTCCACTGCAAGTAACAGAAAGCCTGATTTATAGAGGCTTAAACAAAGAGCACTTAAATGCTTCACATAAAAGAAGGCAGCAGGAGGCTGCTGGTGTTGATCCTGTGGTTAAGTGATATCAAGGGCAGTAAATCTCCAGTCTCTGTGTCTGCATTATCACTTCTGTGGGACTGGGCCCTTTCCATTATAATAATGAATGAATGAATTCACTAATTAATTGAAACTTTATGTTTTTTAACTGTTTAAAAGAAAGATGGGGTTTCCATTTTTTTTAATGAATCAAAACATGTTTACAAGATCTTAAAAGTATTGGATTAGTAGAAGAGGCTAAAAAACAAGTCCTAAGAGTCATTTCTGAACTTGATTAGACCAAAAGGTATAATGTTTCCTTTCTTTCTAGGCCCTCCCTCAAGCTTTCCAGAAGAGATCTATCTGTTCATGAAACTGGCTCTCTGCCCAGGCTTTGTACGATAACTTCTGGGACTTTCCTCCTGCTCCTCCTGCTCTTCTTCCTCCTCCTCCTCCTCCTCCCTGTCCTTCTTTTTCTCCTTTTCACTTTCTTCTCCTGTGCTGAAGATTGATTACGCTAATATCCAATGTCCTGAGGAACTCTTAAGAACACAGAGGCCATGTAAAAAATAGTGAAGGTTTAGAAATACATATACATGGGGATCAATCCAAAGACTGCATGATAGGGAAAATTGATCTGTGATTCATTCTAGAAGGGAAGTCAAAATGATGGATCAGGGAAAAGTATTAAGCACTGATACTGTAGCTGTGATACGTTGTTTCTTCAGCTAATCAATTGGTACACAGATGGTAAGTTATATCTTTCTCTAACTCTATTTCTAAAAAACATTCAGGAAAATAAAGGAGTGAGCACGCCTGAGTCTTGGCCTATCAGCATCTGCTAGTGAGTCTTGAAGAGTCTTCAGTATATTTTTTCAGTCCTAATGCAGACCAAGGTGGGATTGCACAGTAAAAAAAGCACACTTTCTCCTCCCCCTCTTCCATTCTTCTTTTGCTTCTCTTCCTTTAACTTCCTCCCTCCTTCCTTCACTTTCTCCTCCCTTGTGGGGCTATGCTGCCAGTATTCATGTTGTACTAGTACTGCTCTCCATAGTATAGAATGGCTTCATATATGTGCTTGAGACCACCCCAAATATTCTGCAGATGTGAGAACCATGGGTCACATCATAGGAATCGTATTTCCTTGAATGCTCCGAAGAACCCCTCTTTTAAAAAAGCAACAGTTGGATCTGAATGTAGTAGAGTACTTGCCTAGCATGCAAGGTCCTGGGTTCTATCACCAATGCTAGGGATTCTGGGAAAAGGAGCTAGCACTTTGTGGAACAGCATTGTAGTCAAGATACTGCCTAAGCAGCTTAAACATACTAAGTCTCTTAGTCCTCACAGCCACTTTACATTGTAGATGCTATTATTATCTCAAGTTTGGAAATGAGAACATTGAGGCAAAGATAAGGTAAGGTAAATGACTTCCCCAAAGTCATGAAGCTAATAAAGTGTGACTAGAAATTAAACAAGCAAGCCAATGCTACCCAGTAGTCTGTGTCACTTCTTTGATACTAACAATCCATCAGGACCTCAATGACTGCCCAATATAAGCCATGATCAAGAGGTTGACTTTGGACAAATTACTGTATTTGGCTGTTCATCTTCAATTTCTGCCACCATACTAATGGTACTATCATCTACCACTCACCACACCTTGTTTGTTCTCCCAGCTCACCAACTTTACCCACCGTCCCCTCCTGCTTCTGCCCCCCCTTCCCCCCCCCGCCGTCAAATCTACTCAGTTGTTGGGTCCTATGTATCCTGTGGCTCAAGTCCATTTGAATTCTGCTTTCTCTTTACAAGAAAGTCTTAGGATTCTCAGGATAGAGATGTTTGGGGACTCGACCATCACTTTACCTGCTTATAGATGTTTACATAAACATTATAGGTCATGCACAGTGGTGTGTGTACCTGTAGAACCAGCTACTCAGAAAGCTGAGGTAAGATGATCACTTGACCATAGGAATTTGAGCCCAGGAGTTTGAAACCAGCCTGGAAAACATAGCAAGACTCTGCCTCTTAAAACAAAATAAGACAGAAAGAAAACTACACAGGCACACACATGCGAGCACGTGCACACGCGCACACACACACACACACACACACACACACAACTATATAAGACTTGACTATTTCATAAACTTTAGCAAGATGCAAGACAAAGAGAGCTTGAACTTGAACTGTTTCTTTTCCTAATGCTCCTTATAAAAAGCAAGGTGGCTTTCTGAAGGCCTTGCTGTTTCTCTGTGATGTCTAAATTCTTTCAAAAGCATTGTCATAGGTCTTCCTGACTCTGCATTCCCCCTGGGCGAGCAAATTCCAAAAATGCATGTTCTGAAACCCAACACTCAAGTCTTTACTCCCTAAAATCTTTCATCTCTATATAATGTTTTTGCAAGTTAGTTTCAACCTAACTCACCACCACTACTTTCTAAGATTCTGGCCCTCCCTCCACTTCCTCAGTCTACTCCTACCCTTTCCTTCAAATGGAACTTCACGCTTCACACCCATCCTGTCTGCTCCCTATCATTGCACTTATTGGTCTCATTGCCTACAGCGCCCATCCCCACCTTTATCCCCTGGCCGACCTCTAGACTCCCACTTATTCTGCAGTATTCTCAAGCTTCCTGGACTCCTCCAGAGGTGCATTTATTGCTGCAAATTCTGTGCAGTCCTACCCCATGGTGGATGTCGTGAAGATGTAAATAACTAATACTACAAAGTGCTTAGATCCACAGCTTGGATGGAGTAGTTACACTATTAATGGTGTGATACGATTTTATATGTTTCTCTATTGAGTGTTGCTATGGTTATAAAACTGTATCTCCCATACAAGATGACAGTTTTAAAGACAAGGACATGTTTTATTATCTTACTGTCTTGTTTTCATTCTATCCCTTCCCTCTTACTTTATTTTCTAGACAAATTCTCACAAAGTCTGAGTTTTCTTTATGGTTATTGGCCTCATTTTCCTCAAAGTCTGGGGGGAAAACAATCTGTTTAATTGATTTGTCACAATTAGCTGGTTAGTAGTAATTGTAATTAAACCTTTAAATTTTAATAGTCCCCCCCAGCCATTCTTCTCTAAATTTATCTGTGCAATTCTTAAATTCTGATACATTTTTTACAAGTCTTTTGCCAAAAGAGATTGAAAATGCTAATATTCTCATGCTGTGAGACATGATTAACATTTGTATAAAATAGAGAAAGACATATAATAGTTATTGCAAATAAGGGAAACCATGGGACTTACGTTTCCTTGGGCCTGGCTTACTTCACTTAATATAATTTTTTCCAATTCTTTCCATGGAGGCATAGAATTCTGATTATATATATATATATATATATATATATATATATATATATCTTCTCCCAATCCATGGGCTTTCTATTGATCTTGCTAGCTATGTCCAAATAGAAAAAAGGTCAAAAGTTATGTTCATATGACCAGATAAGATGAAGTTAAGCAAAATGAACCCCAAGATAGGGACACAAGTGTTTTTTTTTCTTGCTTGCTATTGTTTCTAACGTATTTATAAGGTACATTGTGATCTTTTTTGTTATTGTTGTTGCTTTGTGTGTTCCTCCCCCAGGGTATAACCCCTGTTTTCACAGTATTTGATGTCAGTATAATTTGGGGAGGGGAAGGGAAAAAGCAAAATGTTTGAATAGGGATACAGGTTGACCCATTGTACCAATGAGATGTACAAGACACTATGTTGAAAAATGAACTTTACAATTTAGGTGGGGAGGAGGGAGAGTGTAGTTGTGGAGGTGGGAGGGAAGGGGTGGAAGGGGAAAAACAAAGGAGGAGACAACAATCTTGGTAAGAAATGTACTCATTACCTTTCTCATGTAACTGTAACCCCTCCGTACAGTATTTTCACGATAAAAAAAAACTTATAAAAATAATTAAAGAATAGAGAAAGAGGAAAAGAAGGGAAGGGGAGAGGAAAGGAAAAAAAATTAAGTGGGTTTTCAGGCTGGAATAATTGTTTTTAAAAAGTCACCAGTTATAGCGATAGATGCAAATAATTTTTTAAAAAGTACAGAATACAATAAACCTATTAGGCTCTTTTTTGTGTGTGCCAGTCCTAGGGCTTGAACTCAGGGCCTGAGTGCTGTCCCTGAGCTGTTTTGCTCAAGGCTAGTGCTCTACAATTCCACTTCCTGCTTTTTTGCTGGTTAATTGGAGATAAGAATCTGATGGATGTTCCTGCCAAGGCCAGCTTTGAACCACAAACCTTAGATCTCAGCCTCCTGAGTAGCTAGAATTACAGGTGTAAATCAACAGCATCTACCTTGGGCTCTTTTTAAAAAAGAACACTAGCAACTAGCTAATTAATGCTAGCTTTTCTATAAGCACATAAGATTTTCTGGGGGGACCCTCTCATGAGACCTGAACTCTGGGCCTGGGTGCTGTCCCTCAGCTCTAGTACTCTACCGCCTGAGCCATAGCACTACTTCCTGCTTTTTCTGCTTATGAGGTGCTGAGGAATTCGAATCCATGGCCTCATGCATGCAAGGCAAGAACTGAGGGGACCCTCTTGAGCACAGATGGACCCAGGTGAATGGATTTCCACGTTGATAACCATATCCAGGAAGTTTGACTGTGCTTCATTGCCTAGTGTTTCTTGCCTTCTGTTTTAGGTTTTAAGGCTGGAGGAATTTATCCAACAACATAAGGTCCCTGTTCAAAGAGCCAAGGAGAAGCCCCAGGACCCAGACTGCCAGCACCACAACATTTCGGAGGCCCAGGTAACCTCCGGCTCCTTGTACATTTTAATTAAGGATATTTTTCTTCTACCTTTCATCACTTCCTCCTCCCCAGTGATTGCATACTAATATTACTGGACTTCTTTATGCTTTATGTCCCTCTCAGCACTGCCAAATGCCCGGAAGAAAAAAAATTACCGCAAAATCCATTTGCAAAAACCATGAATAAGAGTTCTGAATAATTACCCGCTCCCCGTGCCTTTAAAAAGAAAAATTCTTGCCAGATTCATCCCCTGAGAACTGCAGAGATAAACAGGCTGCAGATACAATGGGGCCTTTGATTCTGTCCAAAATGACCACAGTTATTATCGTGCTATAACAACAGCCAGGTTACCACCTCCCTCCATATCCTTGAGCCCATTTATTCCGTCATCTCTGCCTGTGAAGCCATCTTTCAGGAACCTGCTGCCTATGTGTCCCCATCATATTTCTTTATTATTGTCCTTGGACTGCCGTGAAGGTTTACCTCATAGCTGGTGGTGTAACACGCAGCAATGGATTCTACCACAGTTGTGGAATTAGACATCTGAAATCTAGGCGTTAGCAAGGCTGGTTCCATTTGGAGGCACGGGGAAGAAGCTGCTCCCTGTCTTTCCCTGCTTCTGGTGGCTGCTGGGCATCCTTGGTGCTTCTCAACTTCCAGAAACATCACTCCAGTCTCTGCAGCCATGACATGCCCTCCTTCCTGGTGTATCTAGGTCTTCACATAGCTTTCTTATCAAGCTATTAGGCCCTAGAGTTAGGATCCATCGAAATCCATAATTACATCTGCACAGACCTTATTTCAAAATAAGATTACAAATACAAGAGCACAGAGCTGCATACTTTTCTAAGGACATAAAGTTCCCCCACAACATAGATACACTATAGGCACTCAATAAGCAGCTGCCACATGATATCAGAAATAGAAGCTACTGCTTTAATTGATGTCTCCAGATACCTGGGTTCTTACTGGCTGGATAATCTTGGCAGATATTTTACATCTCCACTTCACCTTTCTCATCTGCAAAATGGAGTGATGCCACCGCCTACCTCAATGAGGTGTGTGAGGATCAAATTAATTAATATATGCTTAGGGTTGGAAATAGCACTCCATATGTGTCACTGGCTCCTACTACAGTAGAACTTGCGGGGTCCAGTAGCATGTGCATTTTCAGCCGACCGACACCACCACACTGCCTCCAACTGGGAACAGACCAGCATATGTTCCCACCACCAGCACGCATAAGCGACCACTTTCACACAAGCACAATACAGTGAGCTGAAAAGCTTTCTAAATTTTGCCAATCCAAGACTTTCATTTGGATTTAAATACCTCTAAAGGCAACCTACGTGTCAGCCCAGCAAACAGAAGCTCTTTGAGAATCTAGATACTTACGTTATTAGCGTTCTGTAATACTTGCCAATAGCAAGAAGTGATGCCCAGGAGTTGAGAGGTGCTGAACAATTTGAAGTAGATCTGCTAGTGAGAGAGCAGCATTCCCTCAGTATGTTATGTCATGTTAAGCGGGCTATAAAATTTAAGTTTGTTCAAGATGTGAGGGTTTAAGCTTATGTTCTTAACTGTTCTGCCAACGCATCTCAGTGAGTCAAGAGAGAGAAAAACAATGCCACTAATTGAGAGCAGATTTTCACTCCATTCTTAGAACATACAGAGAGGGTTGCCAAACCTGGGTGTGGTTCTATCTCTACCAAAGATCTAGGGGCTTACCCAACCTTTGTAAGGTTTACCTTGTCCCTGTTTCTTATCTCCAGTGTCCTTATATCCAGTCTTATATCCAGTGTCCTTCTCTTAGATTCATAGTACCATTTATTAGTTTCCAGGAAGTTAGCCCTCTCTTAGTAATTCCAAAGGAAAACTTTTTTTCCCCTGGAAGACACACTTGTTATCTGGGTCACTCTGAACTAAGGACAGAAAAGGGTAGAAAATTTCACAGGTGCTTCTGCCTACACTTTCCAGGAAGAAAAAGAGAGCCTTTGGGCTGACTTCTGTTCATATCACTTATCCCCACAAATATTTACAAGTTTTGCCACTGCACAAACCATATGATTGGATGTCTTGATACATAAGGGCAAATCTTAGAAGGCTGAAATGCAAATGGGGGAAATAAATGCTCACTTAATTAAAAACCTAGTGGAATAGATGCCATGATGATGTCAGATGATCTGCAGCCCTGTAAAACAAGGAGTTTTGGGGGAGGGTTCTGGAAGATTTTCCAAGTGACTGACATCTACTGATGCTGATATTTGAACTTGACCGTGCCAGAAAGAGGCATGCCAAGGGGAAAGAGCATAAGGTAAGATCTCTGAGGTCTTTGAGAAAGGAGAAAGGGGAACACCTAGATCTGAGAAGTATGTCTGCTCACTGGAGGCCCCATATGCCTTGCTGGACACATACCTGGAGGACCATGTGAATCTATGGCATAAATTGTCCAGGAGGTCAGCAAATGGTCACTAAGGTTTTAGACAACCAAGACATCTGGGGTATCTTTAGGCTAGCAGGGACTGGAAGCCTTTTTCTGATGTTAGCTGAGGAGTCAGAGCCCATCAGACCTGGGCTGGCAGACTGCTTTTCCTTCCTTGGAGAAGTTTGACATCAGTGTGAAATTGGCTGGAGCTGAGGTAAGACAGCATAATGTGGGAACCCTAGAGCCCTGTGGGAACTGTGACTGGCTGCAGATTTGACTGGTGTTTGAATGATGCCAGTAGAAAATGCAGGCTGCATGAGTGCTTTTTTTTTTTTTTTTGGGTCCAGTCGTGGGGCCTGAACTCTGGGCCTGGGCGCTGTCCCTCAGCTCTTCAGCTCAAGGCTAGCGCTCTACTACTTGAGCCACAG